TAACAACTTAAAGTCCAGATGGGTGCAGAAGGAGCTCTGAAAACCAACTCGTTCCTATCTGAGGAGCTATTGCAGTTGATAATGGCTGGGGAACAATGAGTCAGTGTTCTTCGGGAATGCAGCCCTCAAGAGACTCCTCAAGCTCCAGTAAATGGTCCTACACCAAGACACATACATATAGGGAGCATTAAGTGGACTTTATTGTTTGTTGTTGTTGTTTGTTTATTTTGTTTTGTTTTTTAAAACAGCATACTAAGTTGGGAGGAAAAGTTGGGGTATACAGGGAAGGAATTTGAGGAAAGGAAACGGATGTAGATTTGATAAAAAATACAACATATGCATGTATAAGTTTTTAAATGAAAAAGATTATTTAAAATTAACATTTGAATATCCTTTAATTAATGTACTTAGTAAATATTTATAATGAGCAATCAACATTCAATGACCATAATCTCTATTCTTCTTTGAGAGAAACAAGTCAATTTTTCTCACTTGTATTATAGCTAAAAATTATCCAGAATACAACCAAAAGCTTACTGGGTCATTGTTCACTGCTGCATAACATATTATAATGAACAGCAGGACACCATCCAGACAGCAGGAAATGGGAAACTAAATAAAGGCTATTTTATTTCTTTGATTATATAGTGCTCAGACATAATAGTGAGGTTTATTCAGAGACATCATTAGCGAGGGTAGATTCTCTGCTTTGAACTAGAGCATGCAAAAGCAGTAAGTCAAAAGTCTTTAGCATCTCATTTCACCTGCATGAGTTTCATGCAGACATTTCTGAGTATCCTGGACTATCCCCAGCATGTTCACCAGGAAGTCAGAACCTGAGGCTCCCAAATGGATTTCTCTTTCTGTTTGCCTTTCCCCTCTCTGGCCTCATGCTGATAGTTACCTCCTTCAGTCGTTCTGCCATGGGGCACTCCATAGCCCTCTGTAAGTCTGGCCCAAGACATCTATCTCCGACATCTCATATAGAACACACCCCTGGTACCAGAGGTGAGCAAGGCCCAGAGTTCTAAGTCTCCAATGCCTTTTGCACTTTCTTAATAAGAGGGGGAACAATTCCCCTCATGAAATTCCCCACTGATAATCCAAGACATTCAGCTGTAATGCCCCATCTCTTCTAAACTCAGATCTAAGGGTGTGTGACTGTCCTGAAAACTTGAAAGAGCTTCTGCTATACACCCTGTGCTCTCACTATATCCCTCCTCTTCAACTGGGTTCTGTTTTGAATGTAAAAAAAGAAGAAATAAAAAGGAAAAGAAAAGACATGACTGTCGCTAGGTATGGTGGAGGAGAAAGTTTATTATAGATATGTGGGAGAGCATAGACAGTGAGACAGGGACATCTGGGAGATTCCAGAGTTCACATGACCAGATTGAGCTGGGTCATGTGGCACAGGGAAAGGAGAAAGGGGAAGGTGGAATCAGGTGCAGCAGCCAGGAAGCCAAAGGTGGTCCAGTCCCTGGGCTGGAGAGATCATGGTAGAGGGTGTGATATGCCAGTCATACCCTGTAACAGGTAGAGGGATTCTGGGGAACCTGAATGACAGATCCACTTTGATATGTTAAATAGGCACCTAGGCACTTTGTCCTTGGTTTGAAACACTTTTTTTTAAAAACCAGCAAATGACACTCGTCAATAATTTTCTGGAACTTTCCCTACTCATCTCTCAGTCATCACCTTTGACCTTTACCAGGGTGAAAATATACTGTGAATTATACTCAGAAATTCTTTTAGATAAAGTTAAAATATCTTAAGGTATTTTGTGAAATTATGTTTAAGATATTATACAGATTAAATATAACGATGAATTTTAGTAAATTTTTCAATTTCTCATTTTTCTAATAATGGTCATAAATTAGATTAGCAATAGAAGGACAACAAAAACCTCTAAAAGATAAAAGCAGTGTCAAGTCTGAAACATAAACTGTGATATGTGTATAGACATAGTCTTAGACATAAACTTATTTAATCTAATTCTTACAATAAACCTGAAAAGCCATTTACAATCATTACCGTTTTATGAGTAAACTGAGATTCGATAGAATTCCCAAAGGCATATAGCAAGTGATCTGAGCATCTATTGGTTCTCTGATCCCACCCCCTCTAACTGGAAACTCAGCTTCAAACAAGTGGCTGGCCTGCTTTAGAGCTGCTTTCCTCTTGCGGCTAAGAAAACATCAAGGACTCTGCCCTAGATGACTTCCCTCCTTTCTGCCCAGACAACCAACAGATGTTTGTTGAATGAATGAAGATTTCTCTTTGACAACAGTGTGCAGCTCTGACTACCCCACTATACTTCATGTCCTTTGGGGTAGCATTTATTTAACTAAAAACCTGTATTATGTGCATTCTTTCATTTCTTACTTTCCTATGGAATCTCATTTAATAATGATAATAGCTAACATATTATAGGAGAAAACTAAGGTGTCAAGGAGGAAGAAGAAAACACCATTTCACAGTTCAAAATAACTCATTTAAATGAGCCAGCACCCTATAGCTGGCAGAGGGAAATTTGCAGAATCAATACTCATGAATGGGATTCTGCAAGATATATCCCTGCTCTGAATTTCTTTTCCCTCATTTTCAGGGTTGCTGTGAGGTTTATCACGTGAGAAAATGCTCACATGATAGCCACATACATTAAGTGCCCAAGTAGTACTCCACTGCAAAATAAAAACATCATTGCAACTGAGTAGTGACTAAATTAGGTACCTTTTTTAAAAACCTCATTTCCATTTCCTTTTTGCTTATTCCTCTTATTTTCTCTCCACTCATTTCTGGCTTTTGGAGGCCGAATGGAGACGGTTTCAGATGTATAAAATAACTAACAATTTCTGTTATCAGTGTCAACCTAGAAAGAATGAGGTAGCGCTAGACACTTTGGTGGTGAGACTGGACAGCAGAGGAGGAGTGTGTTCATGAATATAATGCAGCAGTCCCTCAGAAGTCCCAGAGAAGCTCTGGAGGGCTGTGTGGCCATGTGGCAGCCTCCTGGGAATCAGAGCTCTCAGTCAGGGGCAAGTGTGTCAGTACCCGTGTTTTTATGGAGTAGAAAATATGCACTCTGGTGCTGGAGAGATGGCTCAGTGGATTAAACACTAGGTGTACAAATGTGAGGACTGGAGATCAGATCCCTAGATATTACATAAATTCTGGGTGTGGGGGGGGCATGGCAGCCTGCCTAGTCCAGTGCTAGAAGACAGAAATGATGGTCACTGGAGCAAACTAGGTAGCTAGACTAGCTGTTTGGGTGAACTCAGAGACCCTGCCCCCATGACTAAGGTGGAGAATTATGATGACTGTTAATACCAACTTCAGGTCTCCATGTGCAGCTGTAATGGGGAACCCAGCAGACATGACCACTCAGACAGTTTATAGTCAATTGAATGTGTTTATTCCAGTTGTCTGGGACTGCAATCGGGTATTTGAAACACAAGTGCAGTGCTGAGTCTTCACAGTAAGGGTTTTTGTTGTTGTTGTTATTGTTTGTTTTTTTAAAGGCAAACATCACATCCTGCTATCTTACTCAGCAGTTGCAGGGGAGGAGGTTTTGAACAAGCAAGCAGTGTAACAGAGGCTAAGATAAGCAGTTAGCTAGAGAGGGAGGTTATGAGCAAGCAAGCAGTTTAACACAAGCTAGGATAAGTTAGTTGGGGCCTCTTGACCTTGGCTTCCTAGAGTTGGGTAATTATTAACCAGTTTCCACATCAAGGAGATCAAATTCTACTTAAACCTAAAATGGTCTCATCAAGACTACACAGTGGAGAATCCTCTCCTCTGTCTTGCCCTGTCACATACTTACATGTACATTCATAACTGTTTGCAAAATGTGCCCAGACTCATGAGAACAATCATACATATACATACACATGCAAAAAAAATAAGGACATTTGTTTTGGAGCTGTATCCTCAGATGATGGTGAGATTTGGATGGTAAAACAGAATCAGAGCTGATCTGTCCTTATGCCAAGGGAAGACATTAATATGTAGGTGAGCACCCCCCTAGGCCAGATAGTAAAAGAGAGCATTATTAGAGGGAGAGAAGCCGTGAGGCGAGACACTGTACCAACTACAACATGACTAGACTGTCACCTTCAATTCTGAGCACCCATGGAAGAGCCCATCGGGTAGAGAATTAGTTGAAAGTTAAGGAGTCCCAAAGCATGTGATAGGACAAACACTGAAAATACAGGCAGTTAATGTAGAAGGAAATGGCCCAGAGACTTCTCTGTGTTTAAATTATCATAATGGCTGCTATGGTAAGAATGCTGTATTTGTTCAACCTGTGCTCAGATACAGGTTTAAAAGGAGAAGACAAATGGGGAAGAAAACTCCGTCAAATAAAGGAGGAATTTTCTTTTCATAGTTGCTTAAGAAAGAGTTGTGCTGATTCAAAAAGTCTGAGCTTTAATGTCTCAGTACTCACTCCATGAGCATAAGACCTGGATTCCCACACCCATGTAAAAAGCTGGGCAGACGAGCAGTTTGCTTCTGTAATTCTAGTACTGGGAGGCAAAGATGAGAGGCTCGCTGCCCAGCTAGCCAAGCCAATCAGCTAGCACTGAATTGGGGTTCCTAAAAGCTGTCTCAAAAATAAAATGGTAGAGAGTAATAGAGGAATAAACTAGACCCCTGGCCTCCACACATACTGACACACTCAAGTACACCACCACTGATACATCACACACACAAACCACATACATATACATGAACACCTACCACGTAGACATGTACACATGAATATACCTGCCCCACATTCACACACACACACACACACACACACACACACACACACACACACCAGCATACCTGCACAGGCACGCATACTCATATACCACAAATGATGAGTCCCGTGAGTGGCATTCAAACTTAGCTCACATGGATATCCTGAAGGAATAAAGAAGATTCAGACACTGCTTGAGGATAAGACCCATATATTTCTTTTATTTCTTAGCATCTGTGATTATACAAAACCTCCACAGTGGCAAATGACCCCCCACGTCCTGTCTCCAGTCTAGGGGTGACATTTTGTTGCTCAATGCCGTGGGTATATTCGCTGCACTGACTTTATGAACTTAGTTTCTTAGCTATAGAGAAAAAGAAAGGATGTGTTGGTCGAGATGTAAATGAAGACCTGTAGATGACAAAGATGACCTGTGGCCCTTAGAGAAGAGTGTTGCCAGCTCAGAACCAGTCCTGACTGCAGGGCTATGCAAGCAAGCTGTATCATTGCTTCCACGTGATAGGACTTTTTCTTCCAAGAATTCTGTCTGCCCAGAATCTGACAGCTCCTAGCCAGCTCCATCTCTCTGCTTTGGACCTCTCAAACCCTGAATATCAATCTCGAGGCTTTGCCTTTCCTCTATGAACCCACTATTCCAAGTAAATGAATAGAATAAGGAGGACAGGACGCATGGGCTAAGGACAGCCTTTCCTCTCCCCTAAAGTGTTTTCCTTAGCTAGTCCTCCTTCCCATGGGAGCTGCAATCACTGCTCGTGGTGGTTCCTGGGATTCTTTCCTTTCTTGTGGATTTTCCTTCAGAAATGGAGACCTTTCTCTGCTAATTATGCAAAGCAGCTTTGCTCTTGACAAGCCACTAGCAACCAGCAGTTAGTTATTCCTGGTCAATGTGAAATGGGGGGACTGGCAGAGACTGGACTCTTGCTTTCTTTTTGATTTATCAATACTGATGAAAACCTTCCTTCACAACAAAGACACTTTTCTACTTAGCACAGGCTCATGAATAAATGCCCTGGCTTCCTCCCATGTAGATGGGGGGGGCATATTTGTTCATGTGTGTGTACGTGTTGCAAAGGTTTACTAAGACTCTTAGTGGAATGAGAGACTGTTTGCAAAAGACCAAAGGATTATCACTAACTGAACCTGAACTGACAGCTACTGGGATGCAAGGAGATTTAGTTTGCAGGTAAGAAATGGTCTGTTAATAAAATTGTGAATGGCTCATGGGAAAATCAGGCAGACAGTAGCTAAATGAAAAGATACGCTTAAACTAGTTGAGACCTCCAGAGGAGGAACCAAGAGGTTGAAGTATTTGGGAACAGGCTCCCGTGGCTGAGGTGAGTACACTGAGGCTTGAAGAAGCTCAGGGGCATGTAGGCAGAGAGGAGCTGGTGGTTATGTGAATAAGGGTGGAGGACCCTCTGGTTTTTCCAGAAGCAGAGACAGCAAAGAGAGGTCTCCACACTGGCAGCTGGAGGGACTTCTCTTATAAGAAGAATTAGGTGGATATGTTGGCTCTGTCTCATAGGCTGGTACAACGGTCGTAGGGTTCACTCACATTCCAAAGAATCAAGATTCAACTCTGATCTCCTTTGCCCATGGAGAAGTTCTCGAAGAAGCTGCATCTGTGTCAGAGAAACTGCCTATTAGTTGACCCTGGCCCAGTAGAATATCCTGACTAGAGGGATGGGATGCTATAGGTCAGGTATCAAAATTTTTCCTCGGCTGTCTTTAATCCCTTTTAAGAGCCATTTACAAGCAGCCTATTCATTTGACCTTACATCCTCCAGGCTTTCCCTAGAACTCTTAAGCTTGGCATACCTACCTCCCCACTCCTCACCAGCTCTCTAGCTAGGAAGCATACTCGTCTCTGCCTTGTTGGAGCCCACCTTTTTGTGACCCCACTCACGCATGTTGTAAAATTTTGTAAGCACATTGATTCCAGACTTTCTTTACCAAAACTTCTTTAGTCCTAGGACTTGTCATTTGGGATAACTTGAATCTTTAATCCCGAACCATGATCACTGCTGTCTGGATCAGAATAAGCTATTTTCAGATAGTGTAGTTGGTCTAGAAAAGCTAGCCTTCCATTGGCAAAGCATGTGACTTTTTCAAAAGAAGCCCAATAAGTAAAATCTCTCAGTGTCTATTGTGAGTGAACAGTTTTAAACATTAAAGTCGTGTGCAGCAGATGTCATGGTGGTATAAGCCCACAATCCCTACATTTGAGAGGCTTGCGTGGGAGGATCACAAGTTCATGGTACCCTGATCTGGAAAGTACATCCCAGGGGATCCTGTGCTTCTCAGCAAAGAACTGTTTCAAATTTTAAAAATAAAGCAGAACTACTTTGGATAGCAAAACATGAAATGCTTAAACATTTGCCATCCTGCTTCCACAGCAAATGTAGACTGTCATGCAGATTTCTAAAATAAAGGATTCCTAAGCACTGGAGTTGAAATAACTAGGACTATCTTTCATTAGAGACAAAAAATGTATAAGAATTGCAAAACAGTGCAGGTGTATTCGGGGGTGCTGTCATGGGGAATGACCTGTTATCAGATTCACTCTTTAAAGTTAAGACTTCTGGACCTAGGGGATGCTGTTTACCAGTTAAGAGCGAGTGAAGACTGCTCTTGCTGAAGACTGGGATTTGGTTCCAAGCACCTATGTCAGAACTGCTGATTTCTTCTGACATTCATAGGTATCTTCACTTCTCTGCAACATACACACATATATACATAATTTTGAAAATACAATACATAGTTCTTTTTTAAAAAAAAAATGATTTCTGTCCCTGCCATTAAGTCTCTGGCTCAACAAGAATGTGGCAGGCTCAGTTATCAAAGTCTTATTGATGTGCTCTGGAAGACTCCAACGGACAGACTAATAGAACACTGTTGTATTTGGTAAGCACTTAGGTTCTTCTTTGAGACTTCCTGGACATGGAGCAAAGGCAGCGTGAAAGACTCGGGAGATGGGGAAATCAATTCATCAAACCCCAGACAAGTGACATGCTCTTAATTCGTCGTGTTCTTTCTTAATAGGCATCACTCCACGCATTGTCTGTGAAGTGAGTGACAGTAGCAGGTGCCGTGGGTGATTTGCTTGTGTCTATTTCTCTGCTTGAACACACACATTAACACGTTGGGAGCTCTTTTTTGGTCCTGTGTAAGAGTAGAACCCTGTGTCACTCCAGCTGGCGTCCTCCCCCTTCCCCAGGTGCATAAATGTCTTGCTACCTCTTCTCACCTAGGTCTCTGTTGAATGTCCTTTCTTCAATCCTGACCCCCTTTTTTTTTAGTCTTTCTCTTTAAGCACTAGCACTCATTGTTCTCCATTTGTTTCTCAGGCATTCAGTCTCTTTAGAATATCTGCCGCTAGCATTGTGTCACATAACTGATGCTCCATCAATATCCAGGGTAGATTGATCCAGGGGTCCACAGTAGATGCTGAAATCCTCAGACATTTACATCTCTCATATAAATTGATGTAATGCTCATATCAAACTGCTATGCACACTTCCCTGAATACTTCAAATCATCTCTTGATTGCCTATGCTGTTTACTACAATGCGATGATGCTGTGCAATTAGTTACTACACTGCTTGATTTAAGGAATAACGACAGGGGGAACGTTTGTGCATTTTCATCACAGACAAAGTTTCTCCCAAATATTTTCAGCACATGATTGATTGAATCTAGAGATGTGGAACATCTAGACACGAAGGGATAACATTCATTTGCTAATTAGTCTAATGTTTCTTTCTTCTTTAGAATGTAAGCTGCATAAAATAAGAATCTTAACTCTCCCCAAGCCTACAATATGGAACACTTGAGACTCCAGGAATTAAGTATGGAGAAACAGTTATGAACAGATCTGACCAAGCCATGAAATATAGGTGTCTCCATGTACATGAAGCTTGGAGGTTGCAGCCAATGCAGATGAGTACAAAAGTTCTGTGGAGAGATTTTCCCACAGTGGTCTCAGGGTCAGACTTTGATTTGGCTCCTAGGTGTCAGTAAGATGATGGGACATCACTCTAGAGAAACAAGGATGTCAGGGATTAGCTTGATCAGCTTTGACTCCCATGGAAGAGCTGTGATGGAAACAAAGACAAAACTCTTAGTACATCTCTTTGGAGAGGCTATTTCATGAATTGTACTAGAGGTCCTGGATACTGGAAGGTGGGACTCACACCCTTTTCCTTTGATAAGGGCATTCCTATTTTCTAGCACAGAAGGCCTATGTATTGGTCTGGTCATTCTTTTATTAAGAATACCCAAGGCTGGAAAACATAGGCAACATACTTCACAGAAATCTATCTTTAGACTTTCCGAAGATAAAGAAGTCAAAAAGAAGGTTCTGATGAGTACTATATATACCAATGGCCCAATTCCTGCTTTCAAAATCTGGCCACATCCTTCATTTTCTAGTATACTCCCCATTAGAAATGGATATGTCCTCATATGGCAAAAGAAACAAAAGGACGAAGAGTACTATTCTTTTTTATTTTTTAAATACAGGATTTCTCTTGTAACAGTCCTGGCTGCCCTGGAACTCGCCTTGTAAACCAGGTTGACCTTGAGCTTACTGAGAACACCCTGCCTCTGCCTCCAAACTGCTGGGATTAAGGACGTGTACCAGCACTGCCCAAAAGAGTACTAGACTTTTTTTTTCAGGTGCTAAACTCATCTACAAGGGTGAGGCCCTTATGGCCTAATCGCTGCCTAAAGCCCCACCTCCAAATACTGATGTTTTGGGATTCAGTTGCAACAAAATCATCACAGAGAACACGAACAAGTAGCCCCTGCCACTTTGCTGCTGCCTTAGTCATCCTGAAAAGGGAATGTTTGTTTGTTTGTTTGTTTTCTGAGGAATGTGGGAGCAGTTTCCAACATGCAACTTGGCCTAAAATGTAGAAGCAATGAAACTGGCAGAAGTTCCTCGGGAGAACCCAAAGTGAGGCAGACAGTTGAGCCAAATCCAACACAATATACATGGATGGAGCTATAAATTGGCTTGTGATAGCCTTCCTTAGCACCATCTATTTTCACATCGTAAGGGAAAGGGCATGGAGCTTTCCAGGCAACATAGCTAGTAGCTATGCTTATATACCTTAGCTTTATCTCCCGACTCCGTGCCTTCTGAAAGCTTATTTTCACTAAACTCAGAGAACCGCCCTCAGATAAATTGGACAAGTGAGGTTTTGAATCATCTGAATGCCTCACTGTAGTAAGTAGAATTCCTAAGACAAATACACACCCCATGTAGCCTGAACCTTTACGCAGACAGCATCTAAACTTTAGTTTACCCACTCCTTGCCTCAATCCTCCATCCACTTTCCTCCATCCCAATCCCTGTACCACACAGGACTGAGCACCAAAGACCGAATTTCCCAAGGAAGTCCAGGGACTATTGAATGCTGTTTTCTCCCTCTTCTTATACCCTTCTCTGCTCAAGACCCACTCTAAGGTGATACCAGACTAAGATCCAGAGGCTGTGGCAAAAATGTTAAAGTCAAACTCAGGTTAAAATTAAAAAGAGTCTGTGCTACTGGGGTCATATACACCAAGAGCAAAAATAAATAAATGGGACCTCCTGAAACTGAGAAGCTTCTGCAAAGCAAAGGACACAGTCAATAAGACAAAAAGGCAGCCTACTGAATGGGGGTAAAGATCTTTACCAACCCCATCAGACAAAGGACTGATCTCCAAAATATATTTAAAAACTCAAGAAATTAGACAGTAAAATTCTAAATAATCCAATGTTAAAAATGAGGTACTGAACTAAACAGAGAATTCTCAAAAGAAGAATTTCAAATGACCAAAAGATACTTAAGGAAATGTTCAACTTTCTTAGCTATCAGAGAAATGCAAATCAAAACAACTCTGAGATACCATCTTACACCTGTCAGAATGGCTAAGATTAAAAACACCAATGACAGCTTATGCTGGAGAGGATGTGGAGTAAAGGAAACACTTATCCATTGCTGGTGGGAATGCAAATTTGTGCAACTACTTTGAAAATCATTATGGCGGTTTCTCAGAAAATTGGGAATCAACCTACCTCAGGACCCAGTAATACCACTCTTGGGCATATACTCAAAAGATGCTCAATCATACTACAAAAGCATTTGCTCAACTATGTTTATAGCAGCATTATTTGTAATAGCCAGAACCTGGAAACAACCTAGATGCCTCTCAACTGAAGAATGGATAAAGAAAGTGTGGCACATTTACACACTACTCAGAGCTAAAAAGAAAAAAAACAAAAACAAGACATCTTGAATTTTGCATGCAAATGAATGGAATTAGAAAACACTATCCTGAGTGAGGTAACCCAGACCCAAAAAGATAAATATGGTATGTGCTCACTCGTAAGTGGCTCAACCGGGCCACAAGCACATGTACTCAACTATGTTCATAGCAGCATTATTTGTCATAGCCAGAACCTGGAAACATGCTAAATGCTCCTCAACCAAAGAATGGATTTTTAAAAAAAAGTGGTACATTTACACAATGAAGAAAAAAAATAAGAACATCTTGAAATTTGCACACAAATGGATGAAGCTAGAAAACATCATTTTAAGTGAGGTAACCCAGACCCAGAAAGACAATTATCACATGTACTCATTCATAAGTGGTTTTTAAACATAAAGGAAAGAAAACCAGACTACAAATCACAATCCCAGAGAACCTGGACAGCAATGAGGACTCTAAGAGAGACATACACAGGTCTAATCAACATAGGAAGTAGAAAAAGACAAAATCTCCAGAGTAAATTGGGAGCATGGAGACCTTGGGTGAGGGTTAATGGGGAGGGGAGAGGCAGGGATGGAAAAAGAGAAAAACATAGAGCTCAATAAAAATCAACAACAACAAAGAAACTGATACCAAGTAGAAAACATTCACACATACTGGGCTCCTGTGCTTGTGGTTCCAAGAGTTTTCCCTATTGCTGTCACTCTAACAGTGGGCTATGACACTCTTCCTGTAGCAGACAAATGTGTATGGCTGGGGAGAAGAAGATGGAGGCAGAAACATTGCTCGAGATCTTCCCTGAGGAAGGAGATACATTGTCAAAGATCCTCTTTTTCCTGTTCTTGGTTAGGACTTAAAAGGGATGAATGACAGCTCTCAGTTGAACTGTTTTCTATAAAATGATTTAGTTGTACTATTTCTCCATGTGTGAGATGGGCATAAGACTAGGATCGAACATTGCTGTGAGAGTCTAACACAATACAGCACACACCATTAGCTCACTAATATAAGGATGGCTTGCTTCTCTAATTAACATGGAGTGACTCTCAGTTTTTAGAGCTGTATTCCAATGCTCAATGAAACTCAGTGAGGCAGGTGGCCTGAAAGAATTCACAGTGCATGTGATGTGTAGATTGGGGTAGAGGTGGCTAGAACTTAGGAACTATTTTCCAACAGTCCCTCTTCCTCCTGGAGATAGGAGTAAGGTTCAAAGTAGGTAGGGATTTCCAAAGTCAAGTCCGAAATGGTAAATGTGGAAGTAGACTCCACATTCCTCTTCTAGCCCAGTTTCACTGTTCCCCAAGCTTCTCACTTGACAAAAGAAACTGCATAGAGTTAAATCTTCACCCATGACCGTAATCTTTATTTCTAGTACAGGATACTACTGGAAATAGATGCAAACTGACTCTTTAAGAACTGCCTAAGCCTTGAGCTTCTGTAGAGGTTACCTTGAGAGTTAGTCACACTTTCTTACTTCATGGACTTCCTGACAAAATACTTATTTGCTTTGTGCTTTGAGAGCATTTTATTTTATTTCATTTTAACTGCAGGGATTCCAGTCTCTCTCAGAAGCCCTCAGCAACTCTGATGTTCCAGATAATATCCCAATTCTGCTGTATTCACCGAGTACCTATTGCTGCTGGGAAGGTCACCAGGCACTTCAAGCTCTCATCGCATCTAAGCCTTATAAAACACTCTGCTGGAGAGGTTTTCTGTCTTTAAGGAGACTGAGTCAGTGAGAAATAATGATGCCTGTTCAAGGTTGTGTCACTAGTTAGATAGCAACAAGAGTCAAATCCAGATTTGGCCATCTCCAAAGACAGTTCTTTCTATTGCATGGAATTTCACTTTGGAATGTTGTTTTTGTTTTTGTTTTTGCTTTTGAGAGAATAAAGCCCAAGCTCCAGAAGGAAATCAGTGATTGAGAATCCTACTTCATAGAAGAAATCACTCAACCATCTGTGATGGTTTGAAAGAAATTGGCTCCAAAGGGAGTGATACCATTAGGAGTTGTGGCTTTGATGGAGTAGGCGTGGCCTTGTTGGAGGAAGTATGTCACTGTGGAGGTGGTCTTAAGGTCTCATATATTCACAAGATATCACTCAGTGTCTCAATCTACTTCCTTTTACTTGCATATCAACATGTAGCAGCTCCTCTGGCACCATGTCTCCCTCAACACTGCCATGCTCCCCACCATGATACCAATAAACTAAACCTCTGAAACTGGAAGCCACCACCTCAGTTAAATGGGTCCTTTTATAGGAGTTGCCATGGTCATTGTGTCTCTTCACAGAATAGAAACCCTAAAACACCGTCTAACTAACAACTCAGTTCATGTAGCCTGAATGTGCTCTGAGGCTGAGATGTTTTCTGCAGCCTGGATCTTCAACAGTCCCTTACATTACCGAATATATCTCAATCTCTTGCAAATAAGTTACTTTTCTGCTTTAATTTAATTAAGACGTTGCCTTGACCTCAGTAATAACAAAAAATTGACCATGTGCCTTTAAATAATTTATCACATGACAATCAGCCTTGTAGAATTTTACCCTCTAGTGTTGGTAAACTTTAATTCCCGAGGGTAACAATGGTTACTTGAAGGATTTATGGACAAATATATATAGCAGCACAGACAAAGGTTATTAGAAATGCCTGTTCCTTCACCTAGGTTGACTTCGCTACCCCAGTGCTCAGGATTTACCAACCACTGTAGAGGAGAACAGAACTTCAAAATTTTTGTTGTCCTAGTCCAGAATGCACCAGACAGTAATTTTTTAATGGAAAGCAAACTAATTAAAATAAATTTCATTCATGTAGGTTTTTA